CAGCACCTGCCTGCACCCGCCTGCACCCGCCAGCACCACTGCTCTGGGTCCCCAGGCAACCACGCTCACCCCCACATATCAGCAACCTGCTGTGACCTCAGCCCCCAGTGCTTGACCAGCTTCTGCTTATGGGCGAGGCCCCTGCTCAAACAGCAGCACCTCCCCAGCAGCCTTTCCTGATCACCCGCAGTACTCCCACTTCTCCCACCAGCTCACTCCCTCATTACTCTTGACTTATTTCCGGCGTCAGACTTGCTGTTTTCTAAAATTGTCGTCTTTTCCAGCTATATCCAGTATAGTGATAGGAGTATCAGGCATGAGCCAGACAGCCTGAATTTGCATTCTGGTTCTGCCACTTGTTTTCTGTCCAACCTTGGACAAGTTATTTCACCTCATTGCCCCTCAGGGAGCTCTGGTAGCCTAGTGGTTGGAAGCTGCTTGCAATCCCAGAGACACTGGACTCGAATCCCATGAACTCGGTTTGAATCGGCTAAACAATCTCCTGTGTGATAAACCTGCTGGGTGAGGTTTAGGTCAGCTGTGGGTCAGTTCTGGCTTGAAGGTACACAACAGTAACAACAACAACATTGTTCCTTAGTTTCCTACTCCTAACTGGGCAATAACAGTACTCACTCGTGTGATTATTGTATGAATTATGGTAGCCCATCTCATTGGGGCCTGTGCTGCTTACACAAAGGTGGGTGCCTCTCTGGCAGTTTGAATCCAGGTCTGTCAGAGAAAAATGGGCAGCCTTCTCCCATGTGATACACCGCTTCCATAAACCCACCGGAGGGTCAGCTATGAGTAGTTCCAACTCGACTGCTATGTATTTGAGTGGTTTTTATATGTAACTTGTAGGAGCCCTGCTAGCACAGTGGTTAATCGCTCACCTGCCAACCAAAAAAAGTCAGTGGTTCAAACCCACCAGCTGCTTCATGAGAGAGAGGCCTTGCTAATGCACTCCTGTGAAGATTATAGCCTGGAAACCCTGTTGACCAGTTCTCTTCTGCACAGGAGCACTAGCGGTATCGAGCTGCTAATCAAAAGGTCAGCAGTTTGAATCCACCAGTTGCACCTTTGGAGAAAGATGGGCAGTCTCCTCCATAAAGATTTACACCCTTGGAGACCCAGTGAAGGTCACTGTGAATTGGAACCGACTCAGCAGCAGTGGGCACTGTGTCCTGTGGCATGGCTGTGAGTCGGTCAACTCGAGCGATTGTTTTGTATGAAAAGGCTTTAGACTAGGGTCTGGGACATGGCACGTACCGTGTAAGTGCTTGCTGTGCTTCAGGATTTGAGCCGGGAGCATGTGAGGCAGTTAATGACCCTTTGTTGGAGGTCGTTAGTTCTTCATGGGCCCTGACAGTGGAGCTGATGATTGAGGCAGCATCTGCCCACCTACCAAGCTTCCCAGTCCCTGAAGGTCACTGGAACTGCTTGGTGCTGACATTTAGCAACTTCTTAGATATTGTATAAGTGAGTGGAGGCTGTGGTCAGTCACAGGTGACACTCTGATGGCCTGGTGGGACGAAGCAAAGCAGAAACCAGATGCAGAAGCTCACCGGCTGTTTGGAGAGAGGCATCTAAGGATGAGGGCTCCAAGCCTTTGTGGTTCCATCAACTCTGATCAAGACAGTTAGGAAGTTATGTCTGCTTAGCAAACAGGGCTCTGACCTCTCCTTGATCAAAACACTGTATTTGCAGTGCGATCCCAAATGCTTTTCATTATGATCGAAACATACGTGACAAAACATTTGCCATTTCAACCAGCTTCACATTTGTGATTTAGTTCCATGATGTTCATCATGTCCAGCCACCATCCTTCCCTGTTCTCAGATTTGTCCATCCCAAGCTCCTTTACTCATGGACCTTCTACAGCTCCACCTATAATATCAGTTAGCAGGTATCCTAGGTGGAAAGACACATTCTTCTGTAGTGAATTCAGCTATGTTGAATCAGCACAGTCTTAGACGTGTCTTGACAGTTAGGCCCAGTGATGCGTTTTACAGAATTTCTCCTTCCCTTCCTCCCCGACAGCTTTGCGTTTGGCTCCCTCATATCTGCTGTGGACCCAGTAGCTACCATCGCTATCTTCAATGCCCTTCATGTGGACCCGGTGCTCAACATGCTGGTTTTTGGGGAGAGCATTCTCAATGATGCAGTCTCCATTGTCTTGACCAAGTGAGTGTGGGACCCGGGTGGAAAAACATCCTTCTACAAGTGACAGAATGAAAGGTGCCCTTAGAAAGGGGCAGATCGTCCTGGACAGCTGTACGGACAGCTCCCTGTCCTCTGGGCAGTTGATTTCCTACCTCCCTTTGGAGTCTTTCTGTCCTGACAAGCCCTGGCCTGCCCTAGGAGTGCCATCAGGGTCCACAGGCCATTAGGAGAGCAGAGTCTACCTTGTGTGATGAAGGATCCCTTATGACATTGTGGTTAAAGCCCTTCACTGCTAACTGAGAGGTGGTCGCTCCGAATTCATCAACGATCAGTGGGAGAAAGATGAGACGACAGTCTACCTCTGTAAGATTACAGCCTTGGGAACTGTGGAGCACTTCTGCTCTGTCCTGCAGGGTTGCAGTGGGTTGGATGTGTGATTTCGGTATTTTGTGTCCAGCTTCTCATTAGCATCATCTGGGGTCCTTTGCAAAGGTGAGCTTTCCAGGCCCTGCCCTCAAAGCTTGGTGTGAGGTGAGTCCCAAGAACTTACATTTGTTAAGTTCCAAAACTGGTGATGGAGCAGCCAATTCATGGACCAGAATCTGGGCAGCGTTGTTGTCTCTGGCAGTTTAGATGGTTAATGTGCCCACTCAGCTGTTCACCAAAAGGTTGGAGGTTTGAGACCACCCAGAGGCACCTTTGAAGGAAGTTAGCCGTTGAGAACCCTGTGGACACACTTCTCTCACACACGTGGGGACCCCTGGGTGGAGTCGACACCAAAGCAGCTGGTAGTTGGCTGCTATGACAAGCAGTAGCCGGAGGCCTCGCTCGCCCCCTGGCACTGGCTTACGGCCCTGTTTCCACAGCTGTAAATATGGGAGCCCACCATGTGAGGCTGTCGTGTGCAAGCTGGTCTGCAAACTACAAGTCTTCAGCGGTTTATTAGTGTCATAGCCTTAGTTGAGAGGATCTGAGGAAGTAAAGACAAATCCTAAAAGGTCACAACATCAGTAAGAAACGGAAATGCGTTTCACAGCATCTCAAGCGTGTTTATCTGATTCAGGGCCGTCCCCCCTGAACTCTGCCCATGGTGCTCATCGTGTGGGCAGAAACCCAAGCATTAGGGTAGGGAGGAAATTATAAAATTAAATTAGGGTAGTAAATGAACGGAAATGCAAGTTTTCTGTAAACTTCCGTTAAAATCACAATAAAAAAATTATTCATTAAAAAAAAAATCCTACTCACAGGAGCCCCAGTGTCCCCCCAAGGAGCAGACACACGTACAGGGACAGGGGGTGCAGATGAACCGGCTACAGGGCATCAGGTTAGGGGTAACTGATTCTCAGGTCTCATGCAGCCCAAGTAACTGTGCTTCAGGCTGCAGCTGGGAGCGGTGTCCTAAGACTGATAAGGGTTAGGGCTGGACAGTGAGCATCCCAGTCCTAGGGTTCTCGGGAGTGCACAGGGTGGTATAAGTTCCTAGGAAGGGGCTACCTTCCCTTCTCCACAAGTCGGCTTTTGGAGGTTTCAAGAGAAAACTGGGCTTCCCTGCCTCCACTTGGGGCCCTGACGCTCAAAGGAGTAAACTATGCTTTGAAAGTTGAAAAAAAGAAACTCAAACATTGCTTTGCCAGCAAACAGAGCAGTTGGAGAAAAAGGCCATGGTTGGTATGTAAGAGACGAGCTAAGAATTGGAAGAGCCAGTCTGGTTCCGTTTATCTCAGTACTGTCTTGTGACCTTGGCCATGGACATACTTGCTAGGCATAATCAATTTGTGGTAGTTAGCATTTTCTTTTCTTAAAAGCTTTCTTTGTGAATTCCATGCAGACATCGTACCCTGGGAGACAGTGCTTTATGGTGGAAACAAACCAAACAGAAACTCTCTGCTGCTTAGTGGATCCCAGCTCAGAGAGAAGCCCTACAGAAGAGAGTGGAAGTAACCTGACGGCTTCCCAGACTGTAACCCTTATGGAATCCTCATCGCCTGCAGAGCCCTTTCTGGAGTTAAAGCCTTTGGTCTTTGGCCGGGTGCTTTAATCCCTGTGCGACCAAGGCTTCTTTATAGTGGGAAGACTCCAGGTTTTTAAGAATCAGGCTGACCCGGGGCCCGGTCCTGGTGCTGCCCCTCACAGCTGTGTGGCCTGCACCAGCTCCTTTGGCTCTCTGAGCTGTAGGTTCCTCACCTACAAAGTCCCAGTGGTGATGCCTGTCCTTGGGATTGGAGTCGAGGCTGTAAGAGTTCACCACAATCTCAACTGTAAAAGACCCAACACCGGTCAGCACAGCGCCTTTCCCTCTGGTGCGTCCTCCCTGCTGTCTGCTCTACCGCATTGCCCTGAGTCAGCTGCCTCTTTAGCAGGACCTTCCCCAGTGTTGCTTCATCCCAGGAGGTAGCCAGCAACCCAGCAAACCCGGTAAAGCAAAACCAGAACAGATGAAGCCAGGACCACCTGCAATGGCAGTTCCCAGCGACTGGGTCTGTGGACCTTGTGTGTGCATGAGCTATTAGGGTTACACCCAAAAAGTAACACATAGATCTTCACATCCACTTATGAAAACACATGAGCAGAATCCTTGACATATTGTGCATATGTTTTATTTCAGTGCACGTTTCATTGAAATGGCTTTCTGCCTCAGCTCCTGGCGCTCACTGTGGCACGGTGGTTAAACACTCGCCTGCTGACCCAAAAGTCAGTGCTTTGAACCTACCAGTGGCTCCTCAGGAGGAACGATCTGACTGCTCCCAGGAAGGTCATAACAGCGGAAACCCTGTGGGGCAGCTCAGCTCTGTTGAGAGATTACGGATCACTGGGACTCAGGACCGACTTGAGGGCCCACTGCTACCGCCCTGTATTTTGTAGCCTATATTCTAGCTTTCCCCTTGAACAGAGTTGATATGATAATCTCTGGGCACATCATCTTCCTGATTTCGAAGGATCTTTTCTTCCATAGCTTTCCTGTCATGTGTTGCTGGCTTTTCCACTTTTCTCCAGGCAGGAATGTCTGGCATCGCTGGGAAGTGATACTGTGAGGTCTCTAAACAGACCCCACTGCCATGTTGCATCTCACGATCCTCTCCAAATCCGCTTAGTGCTCTGCTTTTTGCTTTTATCTTGTCTCCTGGCTCCACATATTGAACATTTGTGATAAAGAATTTTGCCCAATTTGGAGGTGACATCATTAGTTATTTTTATATAGTAAGAGTGAAACTCAACAGCTTTGTCTCTGATGTATTTAAAGAAAAAGAATCTGTCAGAGGTAGAATCTTTTCTGCATTTTTCTAGGTCTCTTGGCCACAAAAAGGAATATTTTCTTTATAGAATAAAAAAAGAAGAGTCACAGCTTGTAGCCAAAAGTCCTTGTTGGGGAAAGTGGTTTTGAAGGCCATTGTCACTTAAGATGACATGTCCCCAACGTGGATCTGTGGACCCTGTGCTTATCATTCCGGTGCTCTATTCTCAGTATCGTCATCTAGACACTGTTGAAGACTCTGGATGAGGTGAATCAACCCAGTGGCTGTGGCAATTGGACGAGTGTGTCAGAGACCGTGAGACTGGCTCAGGAAGGAGCAGGCTTCAGAGCTATTTGTTGTTCCTAGGCTCACAATGATCACACATGACAACAACAACCACTGTTAGGAGAATACAGGCTGGTTTAGGAACCACTGACCTGAGACTCTGCCCAGCCTCACAGCATAACTGGTGGCCAGTCGTCCATGTCAGCACTTGAGGAGGGCCCTCTGTGTGGCTGGCACTGCTCTGGGGGAAATGCCGAGCCCATGTGGGCTTGAACTCGGGCTGAGGGAAGAAAAGAACAGGCTGCCGGAGTGAAGAACACCTGGCTGGGGGTGGGGGTGGAGCGGTGGTAGGGAGAGGAGGAGAAAGGAATTGTAGTCGGTTATCTCCTCCCTTTTATCTCTTCCCTTCACCATGGGAAGGAGCTGTTGTCAGCTTTCCTTGGTTGTAAGGTTCAATTAGTCTTGCTCTTATGAGACACTTCCTAAGGGATTGTTTCAAAGTGGCCTGATACTTCTTTCTCTGCAACTGAATATGTAAATGAATGACACCCCCCTTTTAGTGTTTCCACCTTCGTAAGTGCCAGAAAACTCAGGGTCTTGTACCTTCCTTAACTTTTAAGATTGTTTTTTAGCTTAGATTTGTTACTATGACAGTTTGTGTAATCATTGCTGTAGTGAAAACCTTTTGTTCTCTCCAACTGAGGCTCTAGCTTCCAAGTGTCTGTCTTTTGTTCTTCAAGGTGAGAACCTTCACTGGAAGGAAAAGATGTAAAAAACAGCCAGACAGAACCCAGTCCAAATCCTCCTGTCCCTTGTCTGGAGTCCAGAGGCCACTGGCTGCAGCCTTGCCCTGCTGCTAACCCTTTTGTGACCTTCTCCAGTGTACTCTCTTTAGGCCTAGGCCTCCAAGGTGACCTTGACTTTTAGAAGCACTTCCCAGCATGAACCTTTGAACGCCTGGATTCCTCAAGGTGGAATGTTAACCTTTGCTTGTTGGAAAAGAAAGGGGAGGAAGGAGATAGTAATGTCTGGTGAGTTGGGAAAACTTGTTTAAACAAAGTTGGAGTTCTTTTTTCTGCAGGTCTTCTCAGCTTTTGTTATGTTAATTTGTGTTGTGATTCTGCACTGACAGAGTGTCATCTACAGGGCCTCTGAGATGGACTTAACTTTTTATCAGAGATGGTCCTGTCTTAGAACTGCTGATTGGTGGAGTGCTGGCTACTAAAGCAGAGTGTCCCTGTTAGCTCTTTCTGCTTGGTTTACTGATGCAGCAGACGTGTGTGTGTCTGTGCTGTGTGAGGCCCAGACACATCTCGCAGAAATCAGAGGGCATTCTGCCTTGGTCCTCACAGGACAGTTCATCACGGTTCTGACAGGCTGTGAATGTCAGGAGTCTGGCACCATGAGAGTCTGTAAATGAGGCTGACCTGTGTAAATGGACAGGTGTCCCTGGACACAGGTCCTCTGGATGCAGAGAGGGTGAAGGATGACCCACATGGGGCACCAATGCCAGTGTGGCCCTGCCCCAACTGAGGGCAGGGAGAGGGAATGAGAGTAGAGATGGATCCTGGGGAGGACGGCCGGGTCAGGAAGCTTTAGTGGGTTTTGTTTTTAATGTTTTTATTATTATTTCAGTGTAAGTTGACAAAAGAGATTAGTATTCCATTCAGCCATTCCTCCCAATTTTGTCTTAGGACGTTGAGAGCCATCCCCACATTGTATCTTCACTGTCTTATCTTATCTCTCTGTGGTTGTTGTTGCATCCTCCCTCCATCTTCCCCCTTCCTGACTTCTGAGTTTCAACCTAGGACAGCTGCTGCCCTGCGATCCTGTGTAGCTGATTGTTCTAGAGCTGAGGACCTCCCTCATGTTATTACTCACCTTAGAGATGTGTCTATTGTTTGGCTGTGAATTGTGCTGGTGGGTGAGTTCAGATCTGGGACCAAAGGGTGGCCAAAGGCCGAGGTTTGGGGTTTCCACCAGTCTCCCTCACACCAGCAAGGCCGTCTGTTACTGTGGTCTTAAGCTCCAGTCTGCATTTCACCAGCAGGGTTTGCACATACCAGTAACCTTGAAAAAGGCTCATTCAGGCCACTGAGTGGAGAACAAGGTGCTTCCCAAAGCTGTAATTTCTGCAGGATCAGACTCTCACATTTTTGCCCTGTGGAGGAGCCAGTAGGTTCAAACTCCAGTCTTTTGATTAGCAGTGAAACACTTAACCACTGTGCCACCAAGGTTCCTTATAGGAATAGTTGTTAATTGTGTGCTGCTGAGTTGGAATCAACTCATAGCTGACCCTCCAGCAGGTTTTCAGAGGTGGTTACTCATACAGGAGGGGATTTCTTGTCTTTCTCCCATGGAGCAGGTAGACTTGAACTGTATGCCTTTGGTACTACGGTGTGATTTCTTACCACTAGGCCACATGAGCTCCCGGGAGTAGTAGAATATGCATACATATATATAGTAAGAGATCAGGAGGCATTAGCCCCAGGACCAGAGGGGAGTGACAGAGGAGAGAAGCAGATGAATGCGATGATCAGGAAGAGGACTTCTTTTTTTTTTTTGCGAATTTTTAAAACTTTTTCTTTTTTTAATTAATTTAAATGAAAGTTTACAGAGACTTAGAGTTTCCAGTCATTCATTGTTGCACTTTTCTCCCGATCTACCCCCTTTCCCCCAATTTACTCTTCTTGCAAAGTAAAAGAAAACTCTTTCATTGTTATGCAATCCCTCCCCCCAAGTCCACTCCACTCTGGAACCTTCCAGTGAAGGTTCTCACCTTGAAGAACCTTCACTCTGGACTTCTGTAATAACAAGAATACCCAATCATGGCGAGTTCTGGTGGCTTAGTGGCAAGAAGCTGCACTGCAATCCCAGAGGTGCACAGTTCAAATCCACCAGATGCTCGGCTGGAGAAGGAGGAACAATCTCCTTCTCACACACAGAAATAATAAAAACTTTAAAAAAAAGAATCCCCAATCATATATCCCTTTTAAACAGTTCTATCCCTCATCTGTTTCAATGCAGTATACATTATTTATTCCCTCCTTCTCAGTCTCCCTTCAAGTCTGATGTCAGTCTCATTTTACAATAGTGGCCCTATGCAATATTTGTCCTTTTGTGACTGAGATATTTCACTCAGCATAATATCCTCCAGGGTCATCCATTTTGCATAATATTTCATGGGTTCTTGTTTTTCAGTGCTGCGCAGTATTCCATCGTGTGGATATATGACAGCTTCTCTATCCATTCGTTTGTTGATGTGCACTTGGGTTTCCAGCTCTTTGCTATTGTGAACAAAGCCACAAGAAACATGAGTGTGCAAGAAAGAGGACTTTTAATGAGAATAGCCTCTGATTTTAATGCTTATGCCAGTGGCTGATTTTAATGGCCGTTAACTATTCTGTTACAGTGACATCTTTTCATTCTGCCTCCTGGGCCCACCTCTCAGCCCTGCACCCAGTGCCATTTAAGTGGTTTCTTGCTCATCTGACTTCAGGTCATAGTCCCAGTTTCAGGGTTTTTTTCACAGGAACCCTAATGTTTCTCATGGACTCCCCAGGGACTGAGACTGAACTACCAGCTCCCCACCTCGGTTCATGGACGCTTCACCCAGTGCCTGCAGCTCACCATTCACTTCTCTCGATTTGAAACCAGCCACTGCCCTTCCCTCTACCTGACCCCCACATGCCACGGGTCCTGTTCCCTGTGTTTAATCTGTCCTTGTCTGTGTATGTGACTGTTTCCAGAACATTACTTGCTTTTGGGCTCTCTGCCCCCTTGGCTTGTCTTCCCTCTGTCTGGATACTTTCACTCATTTCCTTACCTGCTTAACTCTTCTTTGTCCTAAATCTAAGCCCAGCCCACAGTTTCCAGAACCCTCACTGTTTGAGGTCAATGCCCATCTGATGTTTCTACAGTCTTTTGCCCTCTTCCCATTTTTATTAGTTCTTGCTTTGTTTTCTCCCTAATTAGACTTGGTGAGGGGACAGGGACAGGGATCATGCTCCTTGAGGCCAAAGGCTTACCTCTCCTCTCTGCACCCCCTCAAGGTGAATACAGTACCTGGCACAGAGTAGGTGAATAAATAAAGGTTTGGCTGACTAATTGAATGATAAGATGAATGAATGAACAAGGAAATGAAGCAGATAAGCAAGAACTGAGTTTTTACTATCGAGTTCATTTCTAAATAACGTTGTCTGTAACATTATAACCTCTTTCTCTTTGTCTTTTCATTCCTAGCACAGCTGAAGGCTTAACAAGAAAAAATATGTCAGATGTCAGTGGGTGGCAAACATTTTTACAAGCCCTTGGCTACTTCCTCAAAATGTTCTTTGGCTCAGCAGCTCTCGGCACTCTTACTGGCTTAATTTCTGCATTAATATCCTTTTAGTGTGGTGAACGTGGGAGTGTGTCCACAGAGGTGCGTTCTTCCCCATCCAACCATCTCAGCCCCTTTCCTCCTGCTCCTTCAGGGGCCTCGCGTCAGTTGAAGGACTTGCCTAAAAGATGGTTTTTTATGGTTTGTTTTAGTTTGAGGGATACTTTAAACTCAAGGATTTTTTTTTCTCCTTTTAATATGGGAAGTTTATAATGACACTCTCCAAACTTCAAAAACATGTACATTGGCAGTTAAATAGATCAATCCTTCAATAAAACAAGCCTTTATCTGCCTGGGGGCCGGCGGGGGGGGGGGACGTATATACATTGCTGGGTATCAGATATGATTTGAGGGAGACTCCTCAGTCCAACCGATTGAAAATGTTTATCTGACAGGGTGGGTGAAGAAACTTTGAAAAATTGAGCTCTGGCTAATTTATTTGCTCAATTATGTTGTTTAACGACCTGGCAGCTTTCCTGGCCAAAGAAAGGAAAGGAATAGTGTTGTGGAGGCTAAGAACATTTTTATGACCGTGGAAAGCTCAGCGTGTTTCAAATAGCAACAGGCGCCAGCCCCTCTTGGTGCCGTCTCAGCTCATTCAGGGCGGGGCTGACAGGGTGTTGTGCAGATGGCTGGGACAAGGGCCTTTGTGTGCCATCCATTCCGTATTCCTTCGCAATCCTTTGTCCAGAAGCCCAAAGGCTCCAGTGAGTGGGCTGACAGCTTCTCTTACTGAACCAGTAAACAGAATGGAAAAGAAGAGGAAACTTTTCCAGCTCAATATTTTACTCCATAGTTAACCTTGGAGAGGGAGGGAGGAGAGTGTCATCTATCACAATGAAGGGCTCTGGCAGCCTAGGAGTTAAAGGACTTGTGCCGTTAGCACCAAGGCAGGTGATTGAAATCCACGAGCTGCTCCAAGGGAGAAAGACAGGAAGCCTCCCGTGCACTTTCAGCCTCTGACAGTGCCGGAGGGTCAGCTACGAGTTAGTTCTGACTGATGGCACAGAACAACATTACAGTGAAGCAGGAGAAAGATCGCTGTTTCCTCCCATAAGGACTTACAGCCTCTGAAGGCCAACAGAGGGTCGTTGTGAGCCAGAATCAACAGCAGTGGGCTTGGTTTTTGGTTTGTTGGATTAATCCGGAGGGCAGTGAGCACTCACACCCTCCCCTGGGCTGGTGAACAGTATCTACGTGTACGCTCACCTTTCACGAGGGGATGAGTTTAGCAGGACCCTGGAATAGCAGAGAAGGTCCTTCGATGGAGTACTGGGCCTCAGAGTTCTGGAAACAAGATGGGTGCCCATTAGTGACCTCATGCTGATAGCCTTAGGGGAAGTAACAGAGTGACAGAGCCTTGCAAGGTCCCCCGGGGGAAAGGGGCCTTATAGCTAACTGCTCCCCCCACCACGCCTGCGGCCTTCTGGTCAGCCCTTTTAAATGAGTTGGTTTCCATCTCTGCACCATTTCTTTTCTCTCTGAGTCGCATCTCCACATTTCCTCGTGTTCGGCAGGGCCTCGTCTTATACATCTGTCACGGTGAATTTTCAGCTCTCAGCCTGGAGTGCTATACCCCCTGCTTGCTTTATAGGCCAGTTGTATGACTTTCTTAGAACTCTCAGAACTGTCACTAGAGTCTACTTCCTTGACTGCTGTCCTTCATGTGCTTAAGCACATTGACTTGAGGAAGACGCCCTCCTTGGAGTTTGGCATGATGATCATTTTTGCGTATCTACCCTATGGGCTTGCTGAAGGCATCTCCCTTTCTGGTAAGTGACAGTATTGACTTGCTGAGGTGGTGGCCTTGTCCTGCCTGGTGAAAGGGCTCTGTCCGTCCATTGGGTCACTTGCAGTTGCAGGAGACAGAGATGCACCTCAGAAATGGAACAGCCGCGGGCCTCCCCTGTTCTCTAGGGAAACATCTGGATTGAGACCTGGCTGTTCCAGACACTCAAGATAGTGTTGTCAGAGTTATGGGTTTTCTCTTTACTCACATCTCGAGTTTATCCCCTCAGCCTCTTATGAGCGAGATACTGCAAAGGGCCCCATTTTACTAATAAAACCAAAGTTCAGAAAGATTAGATATATTTTCCAAAGTCCCAGCTGGAAGTGATGGAGCTGTGCTTCAAACTAGTTCTCTCTGATTCCAGAACACTCCTTCTCTAGCACTACTTCCACCTATAACACATGGTCATAAAGGCACAGAAAACACTGTGGCAGGAAGTCAAGCAAGACGTGGTCATGGTATCATTACATCATAATAAGTGTTTTGGATGCACCTTACGTATAGTAGGGTTTTTAGTGCTCTTAACTACTCACCTGGTATAGTTACGGAGAGGCAGGCTAAGCCATTCGCCCAACATTACACGGCCATAATGGCACCAGGAGAGGAGTGGCAGTTTACCAAGTGATGGTTTTCCATGCCTCCCACAAAACCAAACAACAGCCCTGTGTGTAGGCTTGGTTGATCTTCAGTGACACAGTGTGTTGAATTTTAAGGACGTTGACCTATAAACAGGATGTCTGGAGCGTGTACTCTTTGTACAGCTGGGAGGGAGGGGTGCAGTGAGCAGGGAATTGGCTTTCCCGTGTCTGGGCCCGTCCTCGAGTGAAGGCCCTGCCCCTGCTTGTTCTGGGCAGGAGGAACCTTGGGAGTGACGTGCTGATCTCTGTTGCAGGTTCATTTTGGTTCTCATTTGGCTTCAAGTTTAAAGTGCATTGATTTTCCATCCAACCGTTGTACGTACACCTTCTGTTTTGTGACATTGGTTGCAGTCCTTTCCCCATAACTGGATTCTTTCTACGTCTTCCTTGAGTTCTGTTTCCATTCTTCCTTCTTGCTTGTCCTTTCTTGTCTTCTGAGCTTTGTTTTTGGCAAATGCTGCCATTATGGTCTCATGTGGGTGGTTCTTCTGAGTATATTCCTCCCTGTTGATAGTGTTCACATTATAGATGTGTCTGGTTTTTGGCTAAAAGTTAACCTCTGGGGATAAGGTTGCTCTGAGTTCTCTTTTGTTATTTATTTTTTTTTAGATAAAAGGTAAAGATTTATTAGAAAGCTACACCCCACAGGAACAGACCTGCATCCTTCAAAGGAAATATGGAGGAGAGGCTGCTACAAGTTCTTTTGTATTAACTCTATTGAGATGTAATTTGCTTAATTTTTAAAAATTTTTATTTTATTATATTTTGTCCATGTACCATCAAATCAGATCTGACTGGTACAAGAGGAGATTGTCCCTCCTTCTCCAGCAGAGCATCTGGGGGATTTGAACCGCATTCCTCTGGAATTGCAGAGCAGCTTCCTGCCACTCGGCCACCAGAGCTCCCTCTAATTTGCCTTCTTCTTTGAAGTGTGCAGCTCTGTGAGTTTTGACAAATGGAGTCATTGTGAGGAAGTTCTGGTGGCTCAGTGGTAAGGAGTTGTGCTGCCAACCAAAAGGCCAGGGTTTCACATTCACCTGCTGCTCAGCGGGGTGAGGATGGGCCGTCTCCTCCCACATGATTTACAGCCTCCGGAAATGCTTCGAGGGGCAGCTGTGCGGTCACATGGTAAGTTTAAGCAACTGCCAACTGTTTTCAAAGTGACTGTGCTGCGTGCATCCTCCCTCGAATGTAGGAGAGTTTCTGTTTTTTCCCTGTCCTTACCTGCACTTCTTTCTCCGCCCACCCCCAAGTTTGGCTCTCCTCATACGTGGGGAGCAATCTGATTATGCCATGAGTTGATGTGGTTCCCTTTATCTTTCTGTGGTTTGTGTTTGTGGGTTTATAGTTTTCATCAAACTTTGTAAATTGTTACCCATTTCTTTAAGCATTTGTGGTGGTGGTTGTTTCCTCTTTCCGTTCTCCTGTTGGGACTCTTACTCCACTTAACGAGGACATCACACCTTTTTCTCAGTGTGTGCATTGTCCTTTTTCATTCCTGTCTTTTTTTCTCTGTGCTTTGTCTTGATTGGTTTCCATTCTTAAGTCCATGGATCATAGGACTTCTGCTAATTCTATCCAGTATGTTTTTCATTTCAGACATGAAATTACTTGTCAACAGACATTCCCTTTGAGTCCCATCTGTCTTCATCCCTCTTCATTATGGTCATTCTCGCTGCCCTCTTGCCTCTGTTATAGCAGCTGACTTAATGTCCTTGTTTCCCTCATTCCTTCAAGTGTGTCAGTTCTAGACTCGCTTACACCAATTACGTTTTTTCTGTTTATAGATCATATATTCCTACTTCTTTGCTTGCCTGTCTTTAGATTTTAATATTGTAAAACATATGATGATGTTGTTGTTAGGAGCCGTCGAGTTGCCTGTGACTCATAGCGACCCTATGTACAACAGCCCTAAACCCTGCTCTGCCCTGTGCCAGTCTCACTGTCTCCGACACACTCACCCCCATTACTCCAGTCACCGAATCAATCCACGTCATATAGCACCTTCCCCTCCTGCACTGTCCCTCCACCCTCCCAAGCACGACATCCCTCTACAAGGACTGGTCCCACCTTGCAATGTGTTCAAAGTATGTCAGACGAAGCCTCAGAGTCCTTGCCTCCAAGGAGTAGCCTGGTTTAACCATCTCCAGGATGAACCTGTTGGTTTTCTTAACAGTCTATAATACATTCAGTACTCTTCTCCAACACCACAAGTCAAAGGCGTCAATTTTCCTTCTATCATCCTTAGTCATTGTCCAACTCTCTGATGCATAGCAAGTAATGGCAAAGATCATGGCCAGTATCAGGCACACCTTAGTTTCCAGAGTGACACCATTGCTCTTCAGTACTCTGGAGTGGTCTCTAACAGCAGACTTTGCCATCGCAATACGTCTTTTAATTTCCTGGCTGCTGGTGCCATTTTGTCTCTTTTTTTCCATGTACAGTTTAGTGACATGAGTTACATTTTTCACAGTGTTGTGCAGCCTTCACCACAGTTCCCTTCCAGACTTTTTTCATCCCCTCGGACAGAAACTGGGTGTCTGAAGCGGTCATTTTCCACTCCCTGCTCCGCTTAGCTCTTGGGAGCCTTTCATCTTCTCTCTGTGAATTGGCCAGTTCTAGGTATTTCATGGAAGTGAAATCATATTATATTTATCCTTTTGTGTCTGGCCTATTTTCCTGGGCATTATTGTTTTCACAATTCGTTCATCTTGCATCAGAATTCTTTCATTTTCACAGTTGACTAATTTCATTGTATGAATAGACCATTTTTGTTTATCTATTCTTCACTGATGAGCCCATGAGTTGTTTTAACCTTTTGACTATTGGGGATTGTGTATCTGTGAACATTGCTGCACAAGTATCTTTTTTAATCTCTGCTTTCAGTTATTTGGCATATATATTTACAAATAGAATTACTTGCTCAAATCATAGTCCTTTCTACATTTAACTTTGTAAGGAACTGCCAAACTGTCTTCCAGAATAGCACTATACTATTTTGTGTTTCCATTAACAGAGTTCAGATTTCTCCACCTCCTCTCAGCATTTGTTTTTTCTGGTGTTGTTTGTTTGTTTGTTTATTAGTTTGGGTTTTGGTTTTAATAATAGTCATGCTAATAGGGAGAAGTCCTGGTTAACTCTCGCGACTGCTCCATGCACCATTGCCAAGACCAAGGTCATATGTTTCATTTGTTTTCTTTTAAGATTTTTCTAGGTTTTCGCTCTTACACTTAGGTCATTGATCCACTTTGAGTTCATTGCTGTGTATGATGTGAGATAGAAACCCAGCTTCCTTATCCACTTGTCCAAACACCCTTTTCCCATTTTGTTATATTTCTTTGGAGGGTTCTGGACCAGTTTCATTCTTTCAGGATTTACTTATAAGTGATTTTAGGCAGATGCGGAGTAGAGACCATGAAGATGATCTCTTGCAAGATAGGGCAAGGTTCAGATCTGTGTTGACAGGGTCAGATCTGTGTTGACAGGTCACTGTGCATCGTGGTTGACTGGATGGCACCTCACAGCAGCACCAACAGAATGATGTCGGCTTGTCATTCTGAGGACTCCACCCCAGCCCCATGTTCTGTGGGCAACTACACTCTGGTGGTGGTGTTGTGCTGTGGAGTTGGGACTGACCCATAACTGACCCTCCAGTGGGTTTTCAGACACATTTAATTGCATGGGAGGAGACGACACATCCTTCTGTGGGGCAGCTGGTGGATTCGAACCATGTGGCTTTGGGATTATAACTCAGCTTCTCACCACTAGGTCACCAGAGTTCTTATGCTCTGGTAGGGACATAAATGATTCCTGTCTCTGTGTGAGCCTCAAGGACTGTTCAACCCATTTCATTTTTCTGTTTCTGCAGTTTCTCAGAATTTCGGTCCCCACGCCTGTGTTCAGTATTCACGGAATCAGGAGGACATTGCTGTGGGTCTCCAGAGCTTGCTGTCCAGGCAGCACCGCCTCTCTGGTGGTCTAGCTGCCTCAGTTTCCCTCAGTGGAATCTCTGTGTCATCATCTCAGCAAGACTCTCACTACTGGGCTTCCCCTCTCCCAGCCTCAGCCAGGACGCTGTGTCCACCTGGGGACCATTTCTTTTTGGTTTTCTGCCCTCAGGAATCTGGCCTTCCTACCTGCTGCTGGCGTTAGGAAGCAGTCTTGTTATTTTGTCTGGTTTTCCAGTTGTTAGGGCAGAATGGTGGTTCATGGAGTAGTTACTCCTTTGTGGATGAAGTGGAAGTCCCTGGTGGTTTGTAATGGGTGCAGCTAAACAGAGTTCTACCCCCACAGCTCGCAGTCTGCAGTCCCATGTGGCCGTGCTCCTGCCCAGGAGGAAGCAGCA